CCATAGACTCTCCACTTAATAGCCTTACAGTGCTGGAGGTGGGAGGGAGGCTTTCAATGGTCATGTGTACTAGGATGAATTCACACTCACTTTTTTGTCCCGAGGAGATTCAGATGACCATGCTGATGCGATACCAGATCGTTGTTCCCATTACGTTTTGGGTTTCCGAAGTTCTCCAAGGCATTTTAACCCTGTGTGTTATTCACACAGCAACGGCTGGTATCTCCTGGCCCTTCCCGATACTCCTCCTCATTCTCCTTCCCCCCTCCCCCGGAAAAGGCTCAGAGGGACTGGAGAGGGGTCGGCCAGGACATCTAGATCAATTCAGTAGCATATTCACACGGATGAAGATGCCAATCGATGTGGATCTTTCAAGAAAACTCAGGGGCCATTATGACATTGGCAATAAAATGGAGTTTGCTTCTGCAGTCCTAATGCTAAAAACAAACACACCATTTTGGTGTAAAAAGGTCACTATAAAGATTGTAAAATGAACATCTGGAAACCATGGCCATACCATAGCTAGTCAACATATGAAACATTTTAAAAGTAAGAATAAAAATAGGTTTGCTGCCACAAACAGCACCCAAGCAGGAATGGGCATGTCTATGCCTGTCCAAGTGCTGAGCTTGGCTGTATTTATTGCTGCCCCATCACCTGCCACACATTGGATTTTAGCCCTGGCATTCAGCCCATGGAGCACTATGTCTTGTTTTTGTTAACTGTATGCAAAAAATGGAGCGAGAGCCAGTATGGTATAGTGGTTTGAATATTGGACTATGATTCTAGATACCAGGGTTCGATTCCCAGCTCAGCCATGAAATCCACTGGGTGACTTTGGGCAAGTCACACTCTCTCAGCTTCAAAGGATGGCAATGACAAATCTCTTCTGAACACATCTTACCAAGAAAACCCCATGATATGGTTGCCTTAGGGTTGCCATAAGTCTGAAGCGAGTTGCAGGCACACAACAACAAAACCATGGAGAGTCAGTATGGCGTAGTGGTTTGAGTGCTAGGAGTACAATTCTAGAGACCAGGGTTTGAATTGCTGCTGGACTATGGAAACCCACTGTTATTCACCTTAGGCAAATCACATTGTCTCAGCCTCAGTGGAAGGCAAGTGCAATCCACCTCTGAACAAATTTTGCCAAGAAAATGCTGTGATGGGCTTGCCTTAGGGTTGCCATAACTTGGAAAAAACTTGAAGGAACACAACCAATAGCAACAATGTAAGCCATACTGTAATAAGTTTTGGTTGAAGAGCAGCTGAATATGTTTTCAGTTAATTAACTGAGCGTCTGCTTGACTGTATGAAACGATGGAGTGCTCGGAAATCCCTTGCACATTTACACAGAAGCCATATTGTGTTCAGTGGGGAATACTCCTAATTGCATATAATAACTCTACTTAACTTCTACTGATTTTAGTGCAATGGATTACTGAATAAAGGGATTTGGGGAAAATTTTCAAGACACTTTGCAGGCAAAATTCCTGGGATCTGCTCTGACTTGGATGCTGTAGTTGAGACAAGCCCAGTGGAGGCAATCTTTGTGCCTGCTTGTCCCTGTATTATTGTATAAGTTTCACTTTATGCAGCCAGAGGATGAGGACTGGCTCTTTGGAGAAATGAGAACCACCACACGAACATTGGATCCTTGCCCTTCCTGGCCCTTTAAGCAGCTAGAGAAAGGGCCTGAACAGACTGCCAGAAAAAATCCAGTTTGAGATCACTTTAACTGTCCTGGCTCAATGGTAGAGAATCATGGGAACTGTAGTTTTTTTTCTGAGACATTGAGCCTTCTCTGTCAGAGAACTCTGATGCCACAACAAACTACAGTTCCCATGATTCCCTAGCACTGAGCCAAGGCAGTTAAAGTGGTCTCAAAATGGAGTATTTCTGGCAGTCTGTTCAGGCCCGAAGACTGACCAAGTGGGAAAAGAGAGTGGTGTATGTCTCAGTGCAGCAAGGAAGTTTCCATCTTACCTAAAAGAGACTGTGGTGAGGGCATTACTAAAATTCCATAACCCAGAATTCCATAAGATGCCGTCATGAAAGTGGTATCAACATACTGTAACTGTGTAGTGCCAGGGTAGGCAACCTTTCCCCTTTAAGGGCCGAGGGACTTCAGCTCCCAGAAGCCTCAGCCACGTTGGCCAATAGTCCCATGTTGGCCAATAGCTCCTGGGATTCTGGGAGCTGAAGTCCCTCGGCCCTTAAAGGGGAAAGGTTGCCTACCCCTGGGAGAGAAGACCCAATCGTTGCTGCATTCCCCAAACAGAAATTAGGCAGGGTATTGCAAAGAAAAGGCAAAGGGGAATAACCAGATACAGCAGGCATCATCTGTCCAATCCATTGTGGAGAGAAAAGTTGTGGTATCATGGGATGACAATGCCTGTGAATCACACACAACATCTGGCTTAATCCAGTTGTTAATCCTGACTAGAGTAAACCTCTGAATTAAGGTTAAGTGTCAAAGGTACTGCAAGATCCCTTTACATACTGGTATCTCAGACTAACATGGCTATGGTCCAAAACACATTGCAGAAATAATCCAGTTTGACACCGCTTTAACTGCCCTGGCTCAATGCTAGGGAATTCTGTGAGCCATTTAGCCTTCTCCATCAGAGAGCTCTGGTGCGACAATAAACTACAGTTCCCAGGATTCACTAGCACTAAGCCAGGGCAGTTAAAGCAGTCCCAAAGTGAATTATTTCTGCAGTGTCTTTTAGACCCATGTCTCTGAATTCCACTCTTAATTAAGGGGATTTATCAGTGTGTTGCCTTTGTTGCTGTGTGCCTCCAGCCATTTGTGACTTCTGGTGATCCTAAGATGAACCTATGGCAGTTTTCAGAGGGGGTTTGCCATTACCTTCCTCTGAGGCTGAGAGAGTGTGACTTGCCTGAGGCCACCCAATGGGTTTTCATGGCCGACCGAGGATGCAAATCCTGGGTCTCCAGTAGTCCAACACTCAAACCACATGTCAACAACTGATTAAATGGCTCCACTCTAGTTGGGACTAGCACGATGCTAGTCTCTGCAGAAATAATCCAGGGTTGACAGGGCTTTAACTGCCATGGCTCAATACTAGGGAATCCTGGGAATTGTACATTGTCGTGGCACCAGCGCTCTCTGGCAGAGAAGGCTAAAAGTCTCACAAAACTACAAATCCCAGCACTCCACAGCATTGAGCCAAGGCAGTTAAAGCGACGACTCATGGCTCAATGCCACGGAATTCTGGGATTTGTAGTTCTGAGAGTGCTCGGAAGCCTCGGGGCGGGGGAGAGAAAGAAGGCGGCTCCTCATAGCCTCTCCCCTCAAGGGCCCTTCCTTCCCGCTGTGGTGACCGAGAAAGAAGCGGGAGCAGCGGCTGCCTCTTCTCTACCGCCCATTTTCAACGCTGAGGAGCCTCAGAGGGTCGTCTCAGGAGGACTTTGGAGGAAGGGAAAAGGGAACTCTGGCCAGAGCGGGGATTGGCATCTCCCTCCTCCAACCGCTCTCCCCCCTTTGCTCGCCAGGGGCGGGACCCGCGCGAGGGAGCGACCGCACCGCGCACGCGCGCCTTCCTTTTTACCTGGCACGACTTCGGCGTTGTTTTTCCCACCCGGGGGTCCTACCCGCTCCAGCAGCGCTTGATTACGTCACCGGGCCAAGCCGCGCCCACCGTATCCGTTGATCAGCGCCTTCTTCGCCCGTCTGGCCCGCTCAGTGGCTCCGCCCCTTTTCCTCAACTGCCTCTCAGCACTGCACTCTGTTGCACTGCTGCTGTTCCACTTCAGCTGCTCAGGCTGCCTTCTGTTGCATTCTGGGATTTGTAGTCGAGGGAGGCGCATTTCGAATTCTCAGCCAGAGAGCTCTTAGGCCTCACTGAACTACAAACTCCAGAATGCAACAGGAGGCAGACGGAATAGCAGCACTATAAGAAGGCAGTGTGACACTCTTAACGCCTGTTCTTGTTGTTGCTGCGCCTTCAAATCATTTCCTACTTATGGGGACCCGAAGGTGAAGCTATAATGGGGTTTTCTT